CCCAATGTTTTCAAGGAGTGGCCAGTGGGTTTGAACTGCTGAATTTGTGGTGAGCAGTCTAGTGCTTATCCTACACCATCATACCAGGACTCCATTTTAGTCATTATTTTATTCAACTTATAAATATAACAATTTATTTAACCAATACATTATTAAAAATGCGAGCTTTCCTATTTTTTGATAATTCTGTCACAAATAGTCATATATAAATCTAAATACAAAGAAACTTAATTCATTTTAAAACTTCTAAAGTGTTTGGATTTTTTTTTTAAGGAAAAAAAAAAAAAAAGACTTTAGCTCAGGTTGCCAAATTGTTCTCCAAAAAAATTTACCTTAATTTACTATCATATTAAAAATGAGCTAGATTTCTCCTTCTTTTCTACCCTTGAATACACTAGATGTTTCATTTAAGACCTGACAAATGTATATGAAAAAGTTATCTCATATTTGCTTGAATTTTGATTACTAATGAGGCTGAATATTTTTCTTATTGTTAATCACTTACCATTCACTTTTTAAATTCTTGTATTCTGCTATGGTTATATTTGCTTCTCTAATTTTATTTGACAAATATATATATATATATATGTGTGTGTGTGTGTGTGTGTGTGTGTGTGCGTACATATGTGTATGTATATCTACTTCTTCAGTGTTTCCTAGTCAAGCCATAGCCTAGTTATAAATTAAGTGCTATGGGATAAGATTTTATACTATTTTTAGAACTTACATTCCATGGAGTCTTTGAACTTTGTCTTCTTCAGTGTGAGCTTTGTGTGTAGATCTCTGTATTCTGCTGTTTTTACTAATAGCTAGCATACCTTTGGTTGCAAAGGAGATTTGAGAGTGATATTTTGTGCACACCATAGTGGTGTAATTATGGCACATTTGACATTGTGACCAAAGTTATTGTATTAAATGTCAGTAATTATTTTCCTTCCCCAATCTGTGGCTTCCTGTGAGGAAAGGGCTTAGAGTGTGCTTTCCCATAAAGGTTTATAAAAGAAAGAATAGAATTCAGCATAGCCTGAGACTAACAGTAGATATGAATATGCTCCCCATCATGACTATGAAACAAATATCCTACACAGCCATACAGCGTGACCTTGAGCCACAAACACTTTGCGCAAAAGAAGTAAAGTTATGTTCAACTTACTGAGAACTTTGCTTGCAGCAGCAACCAAATCATAAGTTTTGGAATCATCATATATTATTCTGACAAGAAACTGCCCTTCTTCATCTAACTGTGCCTCTTTTCTGAAAAACAAAAATGAAGAAGACTGGGAAAAACCACTGAAATACAACAAAGTTTTATTATACATCAAGTTACTTTGATTATACAAATAAAAATGATTTATATCTAATAAAAGTTTTGCTTTTGGAAATTTAGTTAAAATCAATATCCTGTACCTAAAAAAAAAATCTACCAAATAAGTACAAATTAAATCACATCTCCCTAACACAAAATGGAAATGAAAATTTTTGATATATTTTAACAGGATTTTCAGTTAATAAAACCATATTTATATAGTACTTTAATGGCAATATGGAGTCCTGATATGGTGCTATAAGATAAGCACTGGACTGCTAACCACAAAGTCTGTGGTTCAAACCCATGAGTTGCTTCTTGAAAATCCTGTATAGAGTCACTATGAGTTGGAACTGATGCCACAGCATTTAGCAACAACTACAACAATTCTAATGTGTCATTTATGATAGGGTAATCCTTATGTGCCTACAAAGAAGACCTGTTATTACAACTACTATTTAAATTTATTCACCAACTATTACTACCAATTTCTTCCATCTGCTATTGATCAGAGATGTAATCGAGATAATTACTGGTGATTTGAATGCAAAAGCTGGAAACAAATAGGAGAGACAATTGGAAAATACGACCTTGGAGATAGAAATAATGCTGGTGATCACATGATAGAATTTTATAAGACCAATGACTTCATTGCAAATATCTTTCTTCAACAATATAAATACATGTGGAACTCACCAGATATAATACACAGAAATCAAATCGACTACCTCTGTGGAAAAAAATGATGGAGCTCCTTATCATTAGTCAAAATAGGCCAGGAGCTGACTGTGGAGCAGATCATTAATTGCTTGTATGCAAGTACACACTGAAGCTGAAGAAAATTAAATCAAGTCCACAAGAGCCAAACTATGGCCATGAGAATATCCCACAACAATTAAGAGGCCGTTTCAAGAACAGAGTTGATGCATTAAACACTAATGATCAAAACCAGAAGAGTTGTGGGACGACATCAAGAATTTCATACATGAAGAAAGTAAAAGGTCATGAAGAAGACAAAAAGAAGGAAAAGACTAAAGTTAAGTCAGAAGAGACTCTGAAACTTACTCTTGAACTTAGAGTAGGTAAGTGAATGGAAGAAATGGTAAAGGAAAACAATTGAACAGAAAATTTCAAAGAACAGCTCAAGAAAATAAAGTATCATAATAAAATGTGTGACGATCTGGAGTTAGAAAACTAAAAGAAAACATGTTCAGCATTTCTCAAACTGAAAGAACTGAAGAAAAAGTCAAGCCTTGACTCATACAATTGAAGGATTCTATGGGCAAAATATTGAATGCTTCAGAAAGTATCAAAAGAAGATAGAAGCAATACCAAGTCAGTGTACCTAAAAGAACTGTTTGACATTCAGTCATTTCAGTAGGTACCCTATGATCAAGAACTTATGGTATCGAAAGAAAAAGTCCAATATACACTGAAGACGTTAGTGAAAAACAAAGCCCTAGGATTGGTGGAATACCAATTGAAATGCTTTAAACTGGGAGGTACTCACTAGTTTATGCCTAGATTGGACTAGATCCATATTTGTGACCATTCCAAAGAAAGGTGACCTAAAGGAATGCGGCAGTTATCAGACAGTATCATTAATATCACACAAGCAAGTAAAATTTTGCTCAACATACATAAAAAACTGTTGCAGCAGCACATTGAAAGGGAGCAGCTAGAAATTCAAAGGAGGGCATGGAACAAGGAATATCGTTGCTGACATCAGTTAAATGTTGACTGAAAGCAGAAAATACCAGAAAAAAATGTTTACTTGTATCCTATTGACTGTTCAAAGGCATTCACCTGTGACGATCATAGCAAACTATGGATAAGAATAGGAATTTCAGAACACTTAACTGTGCTTATGTGGAACCTGCACGTAGACAAGAGGCAGTCTTTCAAAGAAAAAGTGGATACTGTGTAATTTAAAATCAGGAAAGGTTGGCTCAGGTTGTGTCTTTCACCATACTTATTCAATCTGTATGTTGGGCAAACAGTCGCAGAATCTGGACTATATGTAGAAGAACACAGCATTAGGATTGTGGGAAGGCTCATTAATAACCTTTGGTATGCAGATGACACAATCTTACTTTCTGAAAGGAAACAGGAATTGAAGCACTTATTCATGAAGATCAAAGAATACAGCCTTCAGTATGGATTACACTTAAACATAAAGAAAATAAAAATCATTATACGGTCTAATAAACACCATCATGATAACCAGAGAAAAGATTGAAGTTGTCAAGGATTTCATTTTACTTGGGTCCACAATCAGTGCTCATGAAAGCAGTTGTCAAGAAATCAAGGAGCGTATCAAAAGACTTCTTTAATGTATTTAAAGAACAAAGATGTCACTTTGAGACTAATGTGTAACTGAACCAAGCCATGGTATTTATAACCGATTCATATGTACGTGAAAGCTGGATAATGAATCAGGAAGACTGGAGAAGAACTGATGCATCTGCATTATGTGTTGGTAAAAAATACTGAAAGCACCATGAACTGGTCAAAGAACAAATAAATCTTTCTTGGAAGTACAACCAGAATGTTCCTTTGCAGTAATGACAGTAATAATTCACCTCACGTACTTTGGACATGTTACCACATGGGACCACTCCTTGGACAAGGGTATTATGCTTGGTTAAGTTGAGGGTCAGAGAAAAAGAAGAAGAATCTCAGAAAAAAAATGGATTAATATGGTGGCTGCAACAGTGGACTCATATGGCAATGAGTGTGAGGATATGGCAGGACAGGGTAGTGTTTTGTTTTGGTGTGCATAGGGACACTATAAATCAAAATCTACCCAATGGCACCTAACAACAGCAAACAACCAAAGCCTAACATAATACCTGACACATTAAAAAAAAAAAAAAGAAAAAAGAACTTTGACTTAATAAGGTCAGCAAACATTTGGTAAATCCCTACATGTGCCACACATTGATCTAGGGATTAAGAATATATCTGTTAATAAAAGAAACAACAACAACAACAACAACAACAAAAAACAGAAATAAAATTAGTAATTTATATAATGGTAAATACTATAAGAAAATGTAAGGTAGGGTAAATAGATGGGGAGGTCAAGTTTATTATTCTTCAGTAAGACATCACTGAGAAGATAGTATCTAAGTCAAGTCAGAAGGAAGAGAGAGCACGAGTTATCAGCAATATAGGGTAAGTGCAGTCTGGCCAGGGGGAAGAGCAAATGTGGTGAAGCATTCTGGTTTGCTGGAGGAAGTCAGAAGCTGAATGACAATGAGGTCAGAGAGGTAAGAAGGGCCATGTTGTCTAGGCCTGGTTGGACAATGAGAATGAATCTGGCATTTACTTGAAAGGGATGGAGGGTCCAGGACAGAAGCTGGCAGATCAGTTTGGAAACTTCAGCAAATGTTTAAATGAAAGAAGATGTTGCCATGATTTGAAGAGGAAGTACTGGGGTGGGTGAGAAGTGGTAAAAATCTGCATGTTACTCAAAGTAAATTCATGATGGAATAGAGGAGAGGAATCAAAGATGATACTAAGGTGAATTTGGAGCGACTGTAGGAGTGGACTTGCGGTGAAGGAGACAATCAAGAGCTGTGTGTTAAACATATGGTCTAGAATGTCTTTAAACAGTGGACAGATACAACCTTCAAATATATCACAAACTTATTAGCCCCAATAGCTCCAAATATGCACAGTGTTCAGGAAAGGAAATTATAGTTATTTTTATTATTATCACAATGATATCTGTGACAATATTAATAGCCTGGTGTGGTGCTATAGGTAAGCACTGTACTGCTAACTGCAAGACTGATGGCTCAAACCTACCAGCAGCTCCTTGGAAACAGAGATGCTATGAGTTGGAACCAACAAGATGGCACTTAACAACCACAATCATTATATAAACATATTTATTTTGATAAAATTTTGATTACTTTTCTGAAAAATGTACCCAAAATGGTTGAGGAGGAGTGGTATCCTTCATTTAAAATACAGAAGAAAACTGACAAGTTCCCACATAGTTTTTCATTAAATTCACAAAAGTATAAGAAACTTAAATCTCAATCTCTGTCCATCCACGTCATCTATATGTTTCCAGTGAAACTAACCACTATAATCAGTGGAGCTTCTAAACAGTTTGTTGAAGAGCCCCTTAAGTATTGCCACAACACAATATCATTTTCTCTCATTTCCTTAGAATCCATACTTTGTTTTCTCAATGGAAAATTCCAAACGGCAGCATGTCTTACGTGTAGGTGGGATGAAGTCCTTCTCAAAACCACCAGTGTTCTTCAGAGCACAAAATAGGTTTGCCCGTTGCCATGCATGATAATATACATAAAAAACAGGCAGGCAGGGAGAACTGAATTTCAGGGCCCACTGTGAGAAAATAATATTAAGCCACATGAGCATTATAACATCTCATTTCTGAACAATAGTATAACCTTCCATAATGGTAAAGAGATAATGTGTGCAAAAGTATGTACTAAATTGCTAAAGTAATATGTATATATACAATACTGCTGGTGGTGGTGTTGTTAACTGCTTTCAGGTTGGAAATCCCATATGTTGCAGATCTTTGGATTAAACAGATCACCAGGACTTTCTTTAAAAGCACTGTTGGTTGGGTTCAAACAACCAATCTTTATGTTAGCAGCTTTCAAAAACCCATCTGCCACTCAGTAATCTTTTAGTGACTATTGTTGTATGCTGTTGAGTCCGTTCTGACTCATAGGTTTCTGAGGAACAGCTAGTGTATTTGAACACCTGAACTTGCGGTTAGCTATCCAGTGCTTATCCTACAGTGCCACACCAGTGACTATTTTTGTTGTTGTTTGGTGCCATCGAGTCGGTACTGATTCATAGTGACCTTATGCACAACAAAAAGAAACACTGCCCGGCCATGCACCAACATCACAATAGTTGCTATATATGAGCCCACTACAGCTGCCACTGTGACAAT